CAAAAAAAGAGTTTAATTAAAAACCCCTTATTAAAATTAAACTTTGAAACTCTAATATACAATTTAGTTGATCTGACGTATGCCATTAAATTTAGATTTTAATGAGATCTGCATTTGCACACTGAATCAGGTTTAGGAAAGGTCACGCGTTACGTACTCTGTGAAAACTATCATTTCGAAGGAATAAATACTAAAATGTATCTCTGAAGAAACATTGAACTACATATCAGGAACTTAAATGAAGATATGTACATATGTTTTATAGAATATTTTTCCGCTGTTTATTGTAATGTTGGTACTGAATGTTAAACAGATTGTAGACAGGAATAACATGCCATAAAATTAAAAACCCTTGTTATTAAACCTCTAACAGCCTGAATGGGACGTAGGTATTCAGATAAATATTTCTGCTCACAGGAAAACTTTCATTTTCCATCTATTCGTTTACTCATATTCACACATATACATACTATATATTTACATGTAAGGTTTGGTGTTATTTTCATATGCTCATATGAATTTCCCTTTTTATACTAGCAGTCCTCCTTTCAAACCAAGACATCGTCCTTGAAAGGACAATGTTTTATTCCAGTTTAAATTTATTCGTTATTGACGGTGGAATTACAAAAAGTGACTGACGTCGCTCTTTTATCACCGCTATTCAATTATTACCAGATAAATGTTCGTCACGGTTGCAAGCGCTTGTTTAACCCTTAGAAAACTGAAGCCTCCGCTAACATGTGTGTTTAGAATGTTAAAACACAGCTCCCGTCCTTTACTCGTTACGTTTGTTTCCCCCCTCCCCTTCCATTAACGCACAAAAAGGTGTAAAGATTTCATATGATAACCTTATACTTCCTAGCAAAGAAGCTTCCATTAGCATTTTAGGGCAAGCTATCTGCCATCAACTGATACAATTCATTTTGGGAAACTACTCCTCTTACTTAAAGAGAGGGAACAGAACAGCTTCGCAATCTCGGCCGTGTCGGACGGTTGAATTAAAGGCTATCTCGGGCGTTTTCGCCTTCAAACAGTTAAGGGAATTTTTTTAATAAAAGTTTCTTTGTTTTCGGTCACATAGAAACCTCAAACCTTGATTACGCAAATGATTTCCCGGATTTGGCCACTTCAGCAACCAAATAATTTATGAAACTTTTAAGTGTTTCTACTTACCTTTGAGCTGGAGAGCAATGGCATCTTCAACTTTAGTAAAGGGGGATACATAATTTTGTTGATAAGGATCATACTTAGTTTTAAATTCTTCACAGGTGAAACGGAAGAAGTTATCGCAAGGATCAATTTTCTGATTTAAATGCGTTGAAATATCAGCAGCTACAAGTAAAAAGAAACATATACAGTTGCAAAAAAAGTAACATCGCTGTTGAATGTTGAATATAGTTCAGAATGAAAGTCTTGAATGAAAAAATGTATTGAAATTACAAGTTTAATTTTTGAAAGTCTTAGAGCACAAACAAAATTCCTAAACAGAAATCGAAATACAAGAATGGAAAAAAAAATTAGAATAGAAAAGTATTCATAGGAATTTAAATATATTGATCATATGTTTTGTGTTATGTTCACTACTTGCATAGATGTCTTGAATATATAGCCAGAATGAAAAGAGCGATATTAGATACTTTGTTGCAGTTCAAAGAGATGAAAAACTAATTAAGAAAAAGAAATGAAAAATGTTAAAATAATGCTAAATGTTACAATTATAATAAATGTTGCCTCGAAGCAAACTTGCTGCGAAGCATCACGATTTAACGTCAATATTTAAAAGGCGTGACTTCACATCATACTTATAATGGATTTCATGAGATTTTCGAAAATTGCATGATACATATAAAACGTTTGTTTTAGTTTTGACATTATTTCTGATTAAAAAAAAAAAAATTGAGTGTTTTCGAAGTTGCATGTTTGGTTACAATACTGCTCATACTGAAAACATTAAAACATTCTGGAGTTCAGCAATATGACACAATGAAAAAATTACGCAACCGTGTGTCCCCTCTTATATTCGCACTTAACTATGTTGCGTCTAATTCGTAAAGAACATAATTTATTTGTTCATATTCTAAATACCGTTATGGAATTTTGTCTCTGTGCATGACTGAGATGGGCTTTAGCCTATTTCAGTGGATTTAGCATTTCAGATAATCTCACAGATTTTACTTATTATAGTTTTATATTTATACGTTAAAAAGTGTAAGATAAATCTCTCGATTACTTAATTAAAAAAAAACGATATGTTATTATCTAACTACACATCTGGCTATTTAAAACGCCACAATAATAAAGACTAGAGAAATCAAATAAAAATTTATTTTAGACATTACACAGAGTATCAATGTTAATTGGTCTTAAATATATCCTTCTTAAGGATGAGGAAGCCAAGAAAACTCGCAATGAGTGTTACTTCTACGTTTGTCAAAAACTGCTGATTCACGCCGCGACATTGAATGAAACTGGCTTTGGATACATCAGTTGAACTTTGGCTACCTGCCCATGCTGCCTGAACAAGTAGCCAAAGTTCAACGGATGTATCCGCGCATGTAGAATGCCCGGCTAGGCGTTCTTTAGTGAGACATGTTCAATAGCAATAGATCTAGAGAGCGGTCAAATTAAGCTAACAGTTTGGATTAGAAAAAAAAATTTAAACATTGCGTGCAACGTGTGGTCATGCATTATCCTATTTGAATGTGGCTACAGGTGAGCCCTGATGTAGAGACGGGGAAGACATTGCAAAATTTCAGAAATGTACGTTTGGCTGATTTGTGTACCGATAATAGGTACTAGGGGATGCGAGAGTGGAATGTAGCACCACCCCACGCCATACAACTGGGTGGAGGACCAGCATTACGATGCATAAAGACGTTATCACATATGGCTACAGTCCCTGTTAGACGACTTTTCTGAGAAACGAGATTCTGGTAGCACTAGTTTAAATGGGAGGATTCTTAGAAAAAAGAGCCCCGTTGGAAGCAAAGTCCCGCCTAGTTAAGGAAGCAATGTTGCAGCTACGCGGAAGGTTTATTAGTTCAACTCATTGCAAACTAAAAACTGATACAGAAAAAAATTACAGACGTCCACCTTCAGCACACCCAACACCAACACATGTCGTGAACGAAAAGACACATGGTCAACAAAACTCTTTAGTCAATGTTACAGTTACATATGAAAATTTAAAAACAATAACACAGCAAAACAAAAATGTTCTGAAAAATTCACACACTTAATTTAAAAAAATTAAATGCACATTATTACAGTTATTAGCAATGACAAATAATTATTACACTTTTCTTTCATAATTTAAATTGATTTTTTTACCAATGTCTGGGCTATCACCAGGCCACTGAAATGCTAAGTTCAAATCCAATGTATTGGACTGGTGCAGCCATCTACTGACAAGATAGTGAAATGCAAAGTGTTCTAACATTACTCCCTCACCAGTAACTAAGTTACGATACTTAAATTGCATTGGTAAGGTCAATAATCGAATAACGTGATCACTACATCTCATGATCAAAATGCACTTCACGTATAAAAGAATGAATTTCTAAGCTTGCATCTGGTTCTGAATTGTAAGGTTATAGCAAATTAAAATACAAATAATAATTAAAGGTAGCTGGAACTTCAAGATATATCACTAATCTTTTTGTTCCATGCTGGAAATCCACATAATTGTAGATACCACATTCAATATTCTATACATTCATTATACATTTCATTATTATATCTCAAAGTTAATATATACATACATACTCCATATCTGGGCTTAACTGAACAATTCAATGACATGCTTTCAGTGACATGAAAATAGTTAACACCAATAAAAATCTGATCAGTATTACTAAAATTTTCACATTTCATAGCAGGTATTTTAAAACACCAAATGCACTTTTCTTATTTTACTCACTCCTGACTGACTCAATGCAACACTGTCCTGAATATACACCTTAGCAACTAATATTCTTTGAAAATTATTAGTTTTCTGAAAAACAGGTATTAGTACTGCATTAAACTGCAGCTGGATAGAAATTATATTTGCTCTAAAGCTCATATATGCCTAATACCAACATGATTAGAATACTACTTATTTTACATACAGCTCAAATTCTTAATTTTCAATACTGCAATCTAACATTAACAAATTAGTGAAAAAGACTCTCATAATACATAGATATATGTGCACTACACTATATAGCACTGAAATATTCTAACTGAAACAATAATTGTATTTTATAAGATAGATAGCTTCTAAGGAGGTAATGCAGATGTTATGCCTAAGCAAAAACACACTGTATTCCAAACACAATAATAATACCAACCCTTACAGCTAATACATGCATATAGAATTTGAAGCAAAAATTTCTAGAACAGTAAAAACAATATGGAAAGTATATCTGAATATATTCATGAACAGTAATATATTGCTCAATATCTACACCACTACGACTCTGGTATATTACAGAAGATACATAAATTAGAAATTATAAAATCAGTATACATTATTGTGAAGGAGATAAATACGATATGACATTAGCCTTAATTGGGGAAGTAGATCATGAATAATAATATTTGCAGTAACAAGAGATAAGAGTTGTGATTTAGTTTTAAGTTCGAAACCTAACAGGAAGTTTTATTTCTCTACCACAACGAGTGTTTGTTGGGAAATTACTATGATGCATTTCCTTTGAGGATCCACCATTGACATCGTCGTCAAGAAGCTGATTCGGTAGTTCTGGCATGCTATCTGCATTCATAAGGTAAGCAGGTTTCAGCCTATCAATAGAGATGTTAACATCTTTTCCTTTAATATGCACAGAATAATACTTATCATGTCTTTCTGCTACAGGAAATGGGCCATCATATGCAGGCTCTAGTGGTTTTTTTCACCCGATCAACTCGAACGAACACATGAGTACAGGTCCTTAAATCTCTATGTACAAAAACTTTTGATAAGATTGACATGTATCTGCAGACTTTCATTGGCTTTACTAGGGCCATCTGCTGCTGAGATTGTACACAAATGTGTCAGGTTCAACGTGGACACTGGGTTTTTCAAAAAATTCACCAGGAAGCCTGATATTGGTACCATATACCATTTGAGCAACAGAATAGTTTGTACCATCTCTGATAGCAGCTCTTAAACCCAACAAAATAGTGGGTAGCATATCACTCCATTTTACATTATTGTGAGCTTTTATTGCAGCCTTTAGTGTCCTGTGAAAGCGCTCTATTTTCCCATTACATTGGGGATGATAGGGCGTTGTATGCAGAAGTTTAGCACCACAAATAGCAGCAAGATTTTTAAACATTTGGGAGGTAAACTGGCGACCTTGGTCAGTAACAATACACTGTGGCACTCCAAATCTGCTCACCCAATGGTCATAAAAAGCTTTACTCACCAGTTCTGCAGTGATCTCTTCTAATGGAACTACCTCCATCCAACAGGAAAATCTATCAATTCATGTTAGACAGTAAATTTTACCATTAGATGGTGGCAAAGGCCCAATCAAATCAATATGGATGATGCTAAATCTGGCATCAGGTTCTTGATATGTACCAAAGGTCGATTTGGTGTGTCTTGTTACTTTAACTTTCTGGCACTGCAGACAAGCTCTAGCCCAATCACTTGCTTGTTTCTTCATCCTGGGCCATACAAATCTGGCAGTTATCTGTTTTACAGTGGATCTGACACCAGGATGTGCAAAACTATGGATATGATCAAAAATTTTCTTGCGAAAAAACTTTGAGGTACATATGGGCGAATATTGCTAGCTGAAGTATCACACCATAGGACATTTTTAGATTGTAGTACATATTCCTTGAAAATTAATGAGGTGTTACTTGCAATTAATTCTTTCAACTCAGGGTCATTCTGTTGTGCCTTTGCAATTTCTTCATAATCAATTATAGATATCTCTTCAATTCTGGAGAGAGTATCTGCTACAATATTGTTCTTTCCACTAATGTGCTGTATATTTGTAGTAAACTGGGAGATGTACTGTAACTGACGCAGTTGCCTAGGTGAAGCTTTATCATTCTTTTGCTTGAATGCAAAATCAGTGGTTTATGATCAGTGAAAATTTGAAAATCTCGTCCTTCCAGCATGTATTTAAATTGCTTCACAGAGAGATATATTCCAAGCAATTCACGATCATATGTACTGTATTTTCTTTGAGCCCCATTCAGCTTCTTTGAATAAAATGCAACTGGTTTCCAGTTACCATCTTCATACTGTTGCAAAACTGAACCAATTGCCCAATCTGAGGCATCAGTGCACAGAGATAATGGACATTCAGACTTTGGATAACTTAAGAGGGCAGTATTAGCCTTCTTCAGTCCAAGGTACTTTACTTTTATCTTTTTCTTTTGCTCCCTTAAGCATTTCATGTAGCATGGCCTGGGTCTGCGCTGCATCTTTCAAGTACCTCCTATAAAAAATTTACCATGCCTAAAAACGTTCTTAAGCCATGAAGAGTGGATGGCAGTTCATAATCAAGAATAGCTTTAACTTTGTTTGGCAGAGGTTGCGAACCAGAAGGCGTAATGAGATACCCCAAAAATTCAATTTCTTTAACTCCAAATACGGACTTTGACACATTTAAGCATAGGCCATATTTATCAAGCCTTTCGAAAATTAAGCTCAGATGTGTTTTTTGCTCATCCTCAGATGACGAGGCGATTAAAACATCATCAAGATAAGGAAAACAGAAATCAAGCCCTCGAAACACCTCGTGTACAAATCTTTGAAAGGTTGAGGGAGCATTTCGGAGACCAAAACTCATAACGTTAAACTCGTACAGTCCAAATGGTGTAATAATGGCTGTTTTTGGTTTATCCTCCTCAGCTATGGGTATTTGATAGTATGCTTTGAATAGGTCTAATTTTGAGAAAATTGTTTTCCCACTCAAGATTAAATGAAAATCCTCAATCCTAGGAATCGGGTATCTGTCCGGAATAGTCTGCTCATTCAGACGTCTATAATCACCACAGGGTCTTAAAGTTCCATCTTTCTTTGTAACCAGATGCAGAGGACTAGCCCACTGTGATTTAGATGGCCTGATTATACCATTGTCTAACATGAACTGAAACTCTTGCTTTTGCCAAATTCAGTGTTCTTAGCATCAAGCTGCCGAGCACGAGAGTAAACTGCTGTCCTTTTGTAGCAATATAGTGCTGGACCTTATGTTTCACTTTGGTGTTCAATAAATTGGGCTTCGTAATACCAGGGTACTTTCGCAACAGCTCAGAGAATTTTACAGAATTGCTCACTGTGCTAATCGCAGTATTTTCAGTTACTGACATTACATCACTATGTACAAACATATTTGTCACACCATCAATTAATTTTCTCTGGCGAATGTCAAGCAGTAAGTGAAACTGATTCAGAAAATCGGCACCTAAAATGCCTCTGTTTACTTTTGCTACAACAAATGGCCATTGGAATGGGCGACGTAGTCCGAGGTCCACGGTCAACACCTTACTTCCAAACGTTGGGATTTCAGTTCCGTTAGCTGCGTATAGCTTGTATGAAGTGCAGGTACTTTTTAGATTTCGTATCAGCTGGAATCAAGCTGATATCTGCTCCACTGTCAATAAGAAATTTGATTCCTGTTTTTTCTGTCTTTGATAAAAAGGCGAAATTTGCGGCAATTAATGTTTCCAGTAGCAGCAGGGCTTGCCGCTGATTCTACTGCTAGTTGCAGTTTTCCGGCTGCTTCCAACTGCAGGGAGGTTTGCATTTATCAGGGTAGCATTTTTTTCCAAATTTGAAATGGAAAAAACAGTATTTTCCATCTGGGTCAAAACGCTTGCGGGATCTGCTGCGACTCCTATTTCTTTGATGGCTTCGACTTCGTCGTCTGTCTCTTGTGTGTTGAACACTCAGAGTCGCAATTTGTTGCTCAAGTGAAGAAATTTTTTTAGCAACATATCATATGGGCCAGCTTCTTGGACCACACTCGCGAGCTCTATCCTTGGATTCATCTCAAGAATTTTGTCGGCCATTGTGGCCAACTTATCAGTACCTTCATCACTAACAATTAAAATGTCCTTTTACTTGGTCTGGCAGTTTCTCCATCCATAAGGTTCTCAGAATTTTTTCAGACACATCATCAGCATCTCCAAGGGCACGCATTTTTCGGAGTAGTTGGCTGGGCTTTAGGTCTCCCAATTCTAGTCCAGTTAGCAATCGCTTGATGCGTTTGTTTTCACTTTCTTTAAAAGTGCTCAGAAGTCTTTCTTTAGCGGCTGAATATTTGTTTGGCGTGTCGTCTCGAATGATGTCCCAAATGTTTTCTATAAATTTGGGTTCAAGTTGTGCAACCAGGTAATTAAAAAATCTTGTGTCTTCGGAAGTAATTCCACTGATTTTAAACTGTGCCTCTACGGTGAAAAAAACCACATTTCAGGTTTCTCTACCCAAAATGGCGGTATCTTAACACTCACTTTTACTAGCTTCAAGTTTTGAAGTAGATGCAGATTCACTGTCCAATGGCATGTTTGCAATTTTAAGTCAAACTAAAACATTAGCATTCCTAATAAAACACGGGTCACCAGATATTAGTTCAAACTCATTGCAAACTTTTTTATTCATAATCATGAACAGCACTAAAAAACTTATACAGAAAAAAATTACAGACGTCCACCTTCAGCACACCCAACACCAACACATGTCGTGAACGAAAAGACACATGGTCAACAAAACTCTTTAGTCAATGTTACAGTTACATATGAAAATTTAAAAACAATAACACAGCAAAACAAAAATGTTCTGAAAAATTCACACACTTAATTTTAAAAAATTAAATGCACATTATCACAGTTATTAGCAATGACAAATAATTATTACACTTTTCTTTCATAATTTAAATTGATTTTTTTTACCAATGTCTGGGCTATCACCAGGCCACTGAAATGCTAAGTTCAAATCCAATGTATTGGACTGGTGCAGCCATCTACTGACAAGATAGTGAAATGCAAAGTGTTCTAACAGGTTTTCAAATCTCACCGAAAATGTCTCGGGTCCCGTGTAGACACAACCAATCAGACGAAAGTTCTGCTTCTGAAGGATCACGTGATCCCAATTTGAGCGATAATCGATCACTGCTTGGCGTTCAAGTCTTTGTAGTAAGTGAGAACGGTAACCTAGCTACGTGCGTTTCCTGGAATTGTGCGGGTTCTGAGAATTGTCCCGCGTAGCCAAAACATAATGGAATTGGGACCTAACAGAAGAGTCGAGCAGCTTTCTCCACGGAGTCTTCAAACGCTAATCCGCCCATCGTGGTGCTGCAGGCAGAAGCCTAAGCCATCCGAAAAACGATGTCATAGAGTTTGGATGTCTATCTTTTCCGTTCAGTGCACCGTTGCAAACGCAACCGTCTACAGTGTAAAGTTAGAGTAAGCGAAGCAATGGATGCCTAGCGGACAAACAACATTCATTGTGATATAATTGTGAATGTGGCAGCGCTTTCCATCAGTGCCATGCGCACAATATGCCTGTTTTCTCGAGAAGTTGTGTGACGAGACGGTTGCAATTGCTCTCGTCAGTCATTTACTCCTGCATCTGCCGATTTACATGTTCATAACTGCTGCTTGACTACGTTTGACAGGATGACCGATAATACGCGATGCCTGTAGGCAAAAATTCTGTCTCGTCCGAACTCATAAACACGCTCGAATGATGCTCGTGTTTTTTACGAGGCATACTGAAGTTGCATACACAAAACAATCTGACGAGAGAAAGATTCATGTTATTCAAAGCAGCAGTCATTTTCGCCTTTTATGTATTTATTTTAAGAAGCTCTGCAATCGCCCATGTTTGCGCTCATTTAAATCTTAATCATATTCCATCGTGTTACACACATCATGCAAGTTTCCTATTTAAATTACTGGCGATCCAAATTACTGGCGATCCTTTAACATTTTGCCGGAATGCTTGGCGTACTTGTAAGGACAGGAGTCTTCGCAAACGTTCAGGGTTGATGGAAAAATACATAATTATCAAGCATTTAGCTATTGAAAATTCATAATATAGGGAAATGAGAAATTCACTGTATCATTACAAGCTCTTAAGAAGTTGACTGTGGGAAAATACTGTTCATGTAAATTTATTAGAAAAATTAAGACTCTATCGTCCTATATATTCTACCTAGTTTTCTTTTCCTCATCAGCCTAGAGTGAGAAACGAAGGGAAATTATTTGAATTTTCCCAATTAATAGTTCAAAATGCTTTCAGTTTTATAAAACGTGTGTCTTACATTTTTTAAGAACCCATTAATAGTAGTTGGATCCTGATTTGAATATTAGCGAACTGGTTAATGTAATACCTATTCATTCCTCATGTGCAGTAATCACAGCTTATTAATATTTCTCTATTCCAAACTTATTTGAGTTTATTAAGAGCATATGATATGTATTTTTAAGGTAAATTTTAAAAATA